TTCCCAACAAAAGGCACTACATAGAAGAACTCTATTGCGCATGTGTCTGCGTATGTAGCTTATGCCTGTGCTTCTGCGCTAGTAAAAAGCGGACTTTAAACTTCACGCTTTAGCAAAATAGCACCGACGATCTGCGCCGACTCAATTGCCATTCAAAACTCTCAGTCGTCTATGCAAGCTCATCAGATGTGAGTTTTGAAAGTCGAGTAATCGTAAATGTCCCTTTATTAGTCTTCTCTAGAATAAATTACTCAGTGCTGCTTCTAAAAGTTCCTCCGAAACTTTGAAAAGACTGGAAAACATCACCGGTCATGCATTGCAAACGAATGGCTGATTTTACTCAGACAATTAGATTGCAGTTTTTGCGGTACTGAACAAGTAGAATTGTACTGTTGAGAGTTTTCAGCATAGCCAACTTACCAAAAAGGAATTCCTGAAACTCTCTTCTACCTGTTAGTTGTTGGAATTAACTTACTCGTAAAATCACAGGTGTAGAAACCAATCCAAGTCCGTGCGGCCATGCTTAAATAGTTTGACCTTCGCGCGGGTTATGCAAATGACAACATTTGTAACTTTTTTTTTGAAAACCATGCATAGTTAAGAGTTCGAGTAATTCAGGAATAAACTCCATTACCTCCTAATATTATTGCTGGTGCGCTGGTTAAAACAGGTTTAGTCTAACTTACCCACACTGAAGATTTCATACATCACAACACCAAAGCTCCACCTTAAGAAAGAGGAATTTACGGTTTGTAAATATGAATGAAGAATGGTATTTCTTTTGTCTGGACTACTGCGGGCTTGGAAACGTTAGCGACATGCTTTAGCTTAGTATCAAGGTTACTCCAATAACACAAATACTAATAATGAAAAATTCACGGAGTTTCAATTTTTTTTTCACTCAAATAGTGGCGAGTTTTCAATAATCCAAGAAATATAACTCTTCTTCGTTAAACGACGGAACAGACTACTTATGCATATTTCAGTAAATGTTTAACTGGTCTTGAGCATTAGCCTTCTCAGGAGACTATCCTAACCTCTTGTCTTGCTGTAAACAGTCGCAAATAGAATGGAAAAAAAAAAACCACGTTAGGAAGAAACTTACACATCACTAGCAGTAGTGTATGCGCCACTACCGAACAAAGCCTCAGGTGCAGTCCATTTTATTGGCAGACGTCCCTAGAATAAGATTACAAAGTTAACAAAAACATTCGCTGTCCAAGAGGAACTTGACGCGATAGTAATGGCCGATCAACATAACAAATATGGTGGTATAACAGAATCGAATAACACTACTTTGATCCTTTAGCAACAAGCTTTTTTTAAAATTAAATTGGAGAGTTACGTTAAAAGATGTTAACAAGAATCCACCTCATGAGTTCGCACATAGATGTCTTCTTCGTGTACATCTCTGGCCATGCCAAAGTCGGTGATCTTGCACACTTCTTCATCACCTACCAATACGTTCCTAGCGGCCAGATCGCGATGGATTATCTGAATAATAAACCAAAAATGTCTCAGTTTATTTTCAATAAAATCTCTTATGTCATTGTCTCCCTCCGTAAAAATACCTCAACTGAGTTAACAAAGAAGTTGAGCAAATTAAAGTCAATTCAAGAATTGTTCAATACTTTTGTGACCGTTGTTGAGAAGACAGTAACTTTTTGGTGGAAATCTAAAACTTAGAGTCAGTTGATTACCTTTTTCTTTGACAAATAGTCCATACCATCGCTGATCTCCCAAGTGAACTTTAGCAGCTGCTTGGAAGTGAGGCTGGTTCGAGGTTGTACTGATGGATCACTGTAGTAGTTATCGCGGACCCCTCGGCTCTTCCTCAGGTATCCAAGGACGTCACCATACTGAGCGTACTCAACCACTACCAATGGCCGTGCTAGCAAATTCAATACAACTTAAACTCATCACATAGTTGTCGTCGACCAGAGTTTGTGTAAGCATGCCAGGCACGCTGTCCTAGTTATACCGTGACACGCAGACTGGTCTCAAAATCGCGTGAAATTTAAAAGGACTCAAACTAAAATTTTAAAGAAGCACCAGACTACAATAGCACTTGACATATTCCAGGCTATAGATAGCTAATATAAGGAAAGAACTTACAATATGCCAGGCCAAAACGTTGATGGATGGAATGAAAGCAAAGGAAAATGAAAGAATGAATAGTCACAAAGTTAAAATGTTAATAATTACACCCACCCTATGAATCTCACCTTCAGTGGTGACACAGCCATAAAGGCATATAACATGAGGATGAGGGTCGAGATGTTTGAGAACTGACATCTCTGACAGCAGATCTCTCTTCTCCTTTTCCGAGGCGTCCTCTGTTCAACAAAAGTTAATACGTAGCTCAGTTACATTTGTAGGTTCATAAGGAAATCATAATTTAGTGTAACTATAATTTTCTTATCCTCAGGACATACTGACTTTTTGGACACAATTACATCGGCTGCGCTGCATTTTATAATACAGCGGTATTAACTGGAGTCAAAAATGATCTGCATTTTCTTTGGCTTTTGCATTTCTATTAGTCTATAATTTACTTTTGTATTTTTAATATATTTTTTAATTTGTGTATTTATTTTTTAATAATTTAATGTTATTTTGGATCGGGACCTTTCTGTAGATCACCTACGGGCGAGAAAGCTTCCCGTTAAAATATCATTATTATTCTACGCTAAGCTATTGGCCGAAAAAAACTCGCGCCACTTTGTCGTCTAATCCAGAGTGAAAGCAAAGCAAATGGTTATTCGCACACGTTTCTCAAACGACGGGTCTGCTAAATGTATTGGTTTCATTGGTTCTTTTGATTTCCTGTGTCCTTTGTGACCGAGTGCTTACTTCGGTTTCGGCTTTACAACACTCCGTTAAAGCTCGCTTTATTAGTAAACATTTTGCATAATTAAGAAACTGTTGCTTCATAGGCTGCTACAAACTTGGCCCGATCCAAGAGCGCGTAAAAACCTAAAATAATGACTTTAGTTTTAGATATTGGGAGATAACATAATAAAACAAATGACCTTGAATGCTCTTTACTGCTACTACAGTCCATCCTGGTTTCCCTGGCAAGTCCAGGGCCAACCCACGTGATACCACGCCAAAAGCACCACGACCAATCACCTTCTCTATATTCAGGTTTGCTCGCGGTATTTCCCATTCAATATCTCCAGAGAATGATGGGTTTAATGTGAGAAAGTTCACCTCGTTAGAATCCGTTTCAAATGATGCACTAAGAAAAATAAACAAATATCGAATTTACTCTTGTCTAGATTTCACTTTTATATGAACTCTTTTGAAGAAACTGAACGATAGTAGAATCAAGTAAAGTTTAATGCTTCAACTGGTCCGCGTCAGACGTGTTCTTTTTTCACAACAGGTCAGAATACATATTCATACGTGCATCTCTCCGTTTCGTGTAATTATCGTGTACCTTTTTTGGTGACATTTATACTCATTTCAAAAAGTAAAGAGCACGAACATTTACATAATACTCAGATTAAAGAAACCAAAAACCTACGTAAAGTACGATATATTTCTTAAAGTAACTGAAAAATCAAACTAATGGCGTCTTTTAATTTCAGAAATACATACGCATGATTCCCTTCGGCATCGTCATCTGAAATGGGAAAATTAAGTTTACATGAGTCATAACAATAGTCAAGATTGGCTAACAATCACCATTAATTTTTCCCTTGTAATGATAACGTGGAAGCCTTTCAGGCCTTTGTTGTGATTTCCAATGCGAGTTTTGTCGCGCTTTCGCTGCAATCAGCTGAATGAATTTAAGATATCCTTAGAATTAGCACGAAACCTAACCTGCAGTCTAGGCGTATTTTGGCGGGCGAGCGCATTTTGATCAAACGGGCGCCATCTTAGATTAGAACTCGGAAGAGGCTTGGGGAGAGACGAAAAGTCGTCCTGTGGAGTACGAGTTAGGCTGAAAGAGGAGTAAGACAATGGCGGTGAATCTTCTCGATCGCGAACTAATACCCATAACTCGTGAACACACGGAAAGCGTCTGCACTGCAGACTACATAAAACGTGATAAAATGAACAAAGCATTAGTATATCAGAACATTAGACCCCCTCATGTTAACAAGAATGGCGTTGGTTTCGTGGTAAGTTAAAGACCCCGGGTGAATCAGGCTGAAATTGCAAAATTTTTTATTTTTATTTATTTATTTATTAAGCTTCGGCCTACTATTACACATAAAGAAAAACAAAAAGAAGAGGAAGCAAAAAAANAAAAAAAAAAAAAAAAAAAAAAAAAAAAAACAGACAGCAAAACAAAACAAAATGGCCAGGGGAGCCGCTACAGCTTAGCCAATTACAGCGGCCCCCAAACTCGAAATATCAGAGAAAACCGCGACAGCAATTGTACCAAAAACAACCTGTTTTTAAATGGTCTGCATTTTAAACGTTACTTACTTTTATGATGCTTAACCTGGCGTCTGGATCTCTTAGCTAGGAATCGCTGAGTTAACAAAGCACAAATCACGATTACGGCTACAACTGCGATGATTGGCAGGTACTGGGTGATTGTGTCTTCGGCGTCTATTTGGAAAACGAAAAAAACATCTGTAATTCATGTTGTTTGTGCAGTATATGCAACATGTGTTCAGGTGTATGAAGGATTATTGTAAATCTTACATTTACCTTTCAGTTGTGCGGAAGCTGCCGTTTTATCGCTTTCTTGTAACCCTGTAAATTTAATAAATGTTGTTGTAAAGATCGGACACTGTTCTAGCTCTGATTGACCAAAAACCGTTTGCTATCACTCGTACTTAGTATAGTCGATCACGATCAAAACACGGGGAACACGAAATTCTAAGCTTTATCTCCGAGCTCATATAAAATCCGTCTTACTGTAAATTCTATCCTTGTAAAGAGGTAAAACCTGGGAAACATTTTGAAGTTGTGACAAGTACACTTGCCTTTCTCCTGCAAGTCGAATGTTGCCGAATCCCATCCAAGCCGGTTCTTTGCTGTGCACACATAGCTTGTAAAGTCACCATTACTTACAGGAGTAACTTTCAAAGAACTTGAGTTCCAGGTACTGTTGAAACCGTCACTAATGTCATGTTTCCCTTTACGCCAAGTAAACGACGGTGAAGGATTTGCAGCAGCTACACACTTAAGCGTCGTTGAATTGCCTCTTAGCAACTCCATCGACACTTGCTTATTGTGAGGTAAATGAATGCCTGGTGCATCTGAAAACAAGTTCACTTGTAGCTATTAACATAACTTCAAATTGCATCATCCAATGCAATGCATTATCTATCATCTTTTTTACAGCCTTAACAAGAAGAACATTGGCCTGCGAATACGAACTAATAAATTTAATTGCAAATCTACAAACAAGAGAGCTCTCTAGTTTTGTAACCAGGCTACATTTAAAAAAAATAAATTTACTTGCGTAAAATATTTTTACATAGTGTAATACTGCTTTTACAAACGAATGATGAGTCCCAGGGAATTTTGACTTCAGCAAAATATCAACAACAATCGATATTCTTATGGAAACAATACACAAACAGCTCAGGTAGAACTTCGCTGTAAAAAAGGGCTGACACTAATGTCTTATACAAGAATAAAGAATAAAAATTGTATGTTTTATTTCAAGTAAATCGCAAAACGTTTCAAATCGTTGTTTTATAATAATAGTAGATGGACCGAAGGATAAATTCTGTTTTAATGAAAGTGCTTCAAACTCAAACCAAGATTTGTGCGGTCAAAAACGTTTTCTCAACTTTCTTTTCCGTGATCCCGAAAACAAGAGGTTTTCTTATTTAAGGTTACAGTATACCTTCAGGGGTGTCTCGCGCGCAAGCGATGTAGCGAGTGTAGTTTAAGCTGTAGATACCTAAACCCCCGTATCAAATTAAAGCTTATGGAGCTGGCTATCAAACTATACCAAGAATTTCGAAAGAAAATGAATTGTCGAATTTTTCACAACCACTAAATGCGAGCGCCCGAATCACCTTTCGAAAGCTACAAGTCAAAGCGAATTTCGTTTTTCGCCAATTTAATTTTTTCCTCGGTTTCA